TATAGGTCCCAATTTCCTATACATGCATGACAACGCCAGACCTCATATAGCTAGGATTTCAATGGACTTCTTGGAAGACAAAAATATCGATATTTTACCATGGCCACCCCAATCTCCAGATTTAAATCCCATTGAGCATGTGTGGGATATGTTGCAACGAAGGGTTTTACGTATGGGGATACCAAGGGACAACAGAAGAAATTTTTTTTAGCTCTACAAAATGCCTGGAATGAGATAACTTGATTTTGAGCATGCCCAGGCGATGTCAGGCAGTTGTGAATAACAGATGAGGTCATACAGCTTATTAAATAAACATTTGTGATACAATAAATAATGTTTTTGCTACTTTATTAGCTAATATTTTTTTACGTTTTTTTTTCAAAAGTTTAGTTTTGGATGAGAATAAAACAATATTTTGTATAAAATTATTTTATTTTATCCCACAAAACACTAAAATTTTATAAAAAGACAAAATCGAACAAAAATGAGTTAAAAAAATATCCCCAGATTTTGGGGTTGTGTGTATTTAAATGCATATTTTTGCTCGATATTTCCATAAAATATTAGATCGAAAAATGAATGAACGAATAAAAATAAAATATACATTTTTTAATTTTCTTTTTTATATTTTTTATTATTTCTACTATCTACTTTCTGGGTTGTTTTTCCAACTCCTTCGTTTTTTTTATTATCAGACGCCCTTCTCAGCCTCGGGCAAAGAGACGAATGGATGATATTTTTTTTCTATAGGCTGACCATCTTTCCGAATAAAATTTTATTCATTATTTCATTATTTACTTTATTCAACATAGGGTCTTATTAATTCCTAGTAGAAAAAATAAAGTGAAATTAAACTAATAATTAATTGAAGAATAATATTTTTACGATAATCGCAAAACATTTTCCGATCCACGTCATCAGTCATATCGAAATTGACACTAAAACCTATAAACCTGACTAAATAAAATTTTGGTTAAAAAGGGGTTGGTATCTCTGTTATTTGTGAAGATAAAAGGGTGCGGTTTACACAAACCTGTGCCAATTTTTTGTCAAACGGAAAATGCTGTCAACACAATTTTCATAGCCCTCTTCGTTTCTGAGCTACAGTGTTTTTCGCAATTTGCAATTTGGGACAGCCCCCGTATCTCCGTTATTATGGATGATATCGAGAAGGTGAAAACTGATTCTTGTAGAACTTTTTACATACAATACAGTGGCGTAGTCTGTTTTCTACGAAAAAAGATATTTTTGAAAATTTGAACTAAAGTTATATTTTTTCAAATGGAACACCCTGTATGTTTATAAATCATATGATCCGCTTTGCTATGAGCTTCTCAAAAATATATATCACTCTTTATTAGTTTTCACTATTTACTGCAATATTTAAAATATATTATTTTCTTATGGCCGTGATAAATAACAAAAAATCAAAATGGTATTTACTAAAATAGCCATACACATATTAAAATTTTATTTGGAATTGATAAGTATATTTTACTTTTGGACTGTTATACCACTGAATCTCTGAATATATTTTTCTTTTTTTATAACGGGATCGGTTTGCAAATAGGCTGTACTTAAACTGCCGTTAAACGGTAGCTTACTAAAATGCCGTTAATAGGTATGACGTCGTTGATGTGACGCACTTGACGGCTTTATGAAATATAGGAATTTTATAAGGACTAACCAACGCTATCCACCCCACCAAAAAACCAACTTACGATACGATAACTTTCAAATTTACAAATAGCGGTAGAAAGTTAAGTATTCCTATATATATAAAGAATTTATTAGTGGCTCTCAAGACAAAAGAAGAGACAGATAGCAGTATACTTTTAATAATTCTTTAGTTTCTTTTATTTATTAATCATGGCCAACTAATAAATATGATCTTGTAATATATTTTTTTTTTAAATATTGCAGTAAATAGTAAAAATAAATATAGAGTGATATTTAGTTTTTAGAAGCTTATGGCAAGCCAGATCATATAATTAATAAATATACAGAGTGTTCCATTTAAGAAAACATAACTTTAGTATCTTAAAAAAATATTCTTTTTGTAGTTATAACAGACTGCGTCACTGTATTCTAAGTAAAAAGCTTTTACTGTAGCTACAATAAACAGTTTTTACTGTAGCTCAAAAATGAAGAGGGCTATGAAAATTTTAATGAAAATAGTGGTACAGGTTTGTGCAAACCACACCCTTCTTATTCACTAATATCGGAGATAACGTTTGATTTCAACCAAGATGGGACACCCTGTACATATTGTTTGGGTCTTAGTTCCTATCGTGTTCACAATAGGATTTATATATGATTATATATACAGGGTGGGCCACTGAAAACTTACAATGGCTATAATTCTTAAACCAAAAAAGATATGAAAAAAATAAAAAATACCGTTTCTATGATATCGAGGGGGAATACATGTGACGTATTTTTTGAACCACCCCGACCTACCCCTTAGGCGGCACCCCTACTCACTTGAAAATCTTAAATGGCAACACCCCACTTGGGGCGCCTTTTTGGAAAGCCCATGAAAAATGCTAAACGATCATCATAAAGTCTTTAGGGTGAAATTGAAAAACTACCCCTTACACGAAAAATTAGGTGGACATTAGAGAACAACGGCATACGGTCGAATCGGCCTACAAACACGTAAACGTTTACGTACGCATGCGCATTTCTTATATTTTTATTTTTTATACACGTAAAAGAGTCTATATGTCTACGTCTACGTGCCAGCAGCGGCCGACTCGACCGTATGCCGTTGTTCTCTATTAATGAAAAAAGTGATTTTTTCAGCATAAGTTACAAATTGGGGCCCAGCTTAATGAGGCACATGAGGTATTTTTCAAACCACCCCGACCCACCCCTAGATGCCACTCACTCACTTCTAATCTCAATTTAATACAATCTAAGAAATGTAGGTGTGACAATTTGAAAGAAATTTAAAATGATAATTTATTTTAACAATTGCTCAAAATGACAGCCGTTTTGTTCCATACAAAAATACAAACGATTTTCAAATTCTTCTCTCACTTTTTGGAAAGTTTCTCTCGGAATATTTCGACATGCTTTATTTATCCTCTGCCGCAATTCTTGCAACGAACCTGGTTTTGTCTTGTAGACTATGGATTTAGTGTAACCCCACAAGAAAAAGTCTAAAGGAGTGAGATCAGGTGAGTTTGGCGGCTACTCGATTGGACCCTTTCTGCCAATCCATTGCCTTGGATAATATCTATCCAACCGCCGCCTTGTGACAATAGAATAATGCGGAGGGGCTCCATCTTGCTGAAAGTGTATGAGGTCTTCATTAAGAGTTAAATTTCCTTCCAAATCTCTTTGATTTTCAACCTCATTTGCAATGGCTGGCTCTATCAAATTGTTCAGCATTTCCACATAAGCATCACCAGTCAAATTTCCGTCGATGAAAAATGGACCTATAATTTTATTGCCTAGTATTCCGCACCAAACATTGAGCTTTTGGGGATATTGGGTGTGTCCTTCAACAACAATATGCGGATTCTCATCGCTCCAGTATCTGCAGTTCTGCTTATTCACAATTCCGTTTGAAAAATGATCACTCATCACTAAAACAAATATTTTAGTAAGTGAAGGTTCCCTTAGAATTTCCTCCGTCATTAGTTCACAAAACTGAATCCTTCTATCTGGATCGTCGTCGCCAAGTTCCGGCAGAATCTTCATTTGTAGGGATGGAATTTTTGCATTTTCAATACTCTCCTGACGGATGTTCGAGGTATACCTGTGATTGACGCCAACTGGCGTGTTGATGCTTCTGGATTGACCGATATCTGACCAATAACTTCCATCTGCATTTCTTCATTCAGTACCCTGGGCCCTGTCCTTGTTTTATTTTTAACCAAAATAAAAAAAAAAACTTTAAAATCAAATCTGTAACATAAACGTGACTTACGTTTTTGTCCGGTTTCTCTCATTGAAAGCACGGGGCCGTTCTCAAATAACACATACCTTCAGCACCATAAAGAAAAACTATTTAATTCTTTCTTCCACAGTATAAACCATTTTTTTTTAATATATTAAAATGTATTATCATAAAATACATAGCATTAACTTATTTTGCAAACGATTGAAAATCGATAGAAGACAGTGCAAAAACGCAAAGATATGCCGGTTTAAGATTCCTGTTTGTTGAAAGTAAAAAAATAGATGATAAGGAGGAATTTGCGTTATCGCAAAATTAGGCTGTAAAAACATCTTTGTGTTGCCTTTTTTATTATCTACATTAAAAAATGGCATTGATGAGATTGGAAGTGAGAGGATGGCACCTAGGGGTGGGTCGGGGTGGTTTAAAAAATGCCTCATTTGCCTCATTAAGCTGGGTCCTCCGAATTGTAACACTGAAAAATTACTTTTTTTCATTAATGTCCACCTAATTTTTCGTATAAGGGGTAGTTTTTCAATTTCACCCTAAAAACGTTATGACCGTCGTTAGCATTTTTTCATGGGCTTTCCAAAAGGCGCCACAAGTGGGGTATTGCCATTTAAGATTTTCAAGTGAGTAGGGGTGCCGCCTAAGGGTAGGTCGGGGTGGTTCAAAAAATACGTCATATGTATTCCCCTTCGATATCATAGAAACGGTATTTTTTTATTTTTTTGATATTTTTTTTGGTTTAAAAATTATAGCCATTGTAAGTTTTTAGTGGTCCACCCTGTATGTTACGGTTAAAGTCCGATGTCCGGTTAATGTCGACATTAACATGTTAATGTTTGGGTTAGGTTATGTTTTTGGTTGTTTTGTTGTGTGTTATTCTCGAGATTAACCGGGTAATGTCGACATTAACCGGATATCGGACCTTAACCGTAACATATATATGCATAATATGATATTCTCCAATGGTGGCAGGCACCGGCGGAGAATGCACCGATTTTATAACTTCTAAGACTAAATATATCATGAGAAAGGCATTGGAACATTGGCAAGGGGGGCAACAATTAATGGTCACAAAATTACCAACCTCAGACTTGCAGACGATACGGTCCTTCTAGCGGGGAACGAAGAAGAATTACTGCAGCTTCTAAAATTGGTTGAAGACGAAAGCGAAAAACTTGGACTTGAAATTAATCCCTCTAAAACAAAAATTATGATTATCGACAGGCAAAACAACAACAAACCTGATGTAGTGAGCATTGGTCGTCTTGAGGTTGTAATAAAATATACAGGGTGTTTCAAAACAAATGCGAAAAACTTCAGTGGCTGATTCCTTGTTCAAAATAAAGGGTAGTTTGCTTCATAAACGTTGGGTCAAAAGTCAACCATTAGGGAGATATCGCGGTACAAAGATGGCGGAAAAATAATGTTTTTATTTTTTATCTTGAAAACAAAGAGAATAAACTAATGAAATTTTTTGGAAGCATTACTGTTATGAAACCACACTTTCTGGTAATTTTTCACTTTTTTAAAATAAGTGGAAGGGTTGGAAATAAACTACCCTTATGATTCTTGTTAACGAGAATTTAAGAAAAATCTTATCAAATACATGCAAAAAAAAATTTGGATAATTTAGTTTGTTTAGACACTTTTTATCTCTTGTGTTTTGGTAAAATTCACCGATTTGAAATTAAAAAATATGTAAAAAGTGTAAAGCATTACAACCATGGGACAAAAATATTTTTGGATAAAAAGAATCTAGTAGGCTGCTGTCAAACAGTTTTATTTCGTAATAATATCGTTACATTTTCTTTTGAACGATAACCTCTTAAAATTATTTACCAATTTTTAATTCTGCTTTTTAATTCATGAAAGCACGAAATAATAAAAAAGTACATAAGTAAAAATAAAATGTTTTTGTCCTGACATGGGGTAATGCTTTACATTTTATTTTTTTAATTTCAAATAGTGAGTTTATCAAAAAAATATAAAAGATAAAAAAGTTTCTAATCAAATTAAACTATCCAAATTAATTTTTTTGCATGTGTTTGATAAGATTTTCTTTAAATTTCATTTTTTTTAATAATTAAAAATTATGGTAGTTTATTTTAATCCCTTCCACTCATTTAAAAAGAGTGAAATACCAGAAAGTGTGTTTTTCATAACAGTAATGCTTCCATAAAATTACATTAGTCTATCTCTTTTCGTTTTCAAGATAAAAAATTAAAACATCTTTGTACCGCGATATCTCCCTAATGATTGACTTTTGACCCAACGTTTATGAAGCAAATTACCCTTTATTTTGAACAAGGAATCAGCCCCTGAAGTTTTTCGCATTTGTTTTGAAACACCCTGTATATATCTTGGGTCACTTATAAACAACACGGAATCGTTAGAAGGGGAAATAAGAAGAACATTTGAAATGACAAGAGTGGCAGTGCGAAAACTTTTAAAGATATGGCGAGACAAAAACATATCTAAACACTTAAAAAAAAGGCTTGTTCACTGCCTAATATTTCCTATATTAATGTATGGCTCCGAGTCCTGGACGATGAGACAGAAATAGAAAAAAATTGACGCAACTGAGATGTACTGTTGGCGACAAATGCTCAGAATTCCCTGGATTGCCCGGCGAACCAATGAATCTATAATCCAAGAACTTAACGTCACAGAACGCCTCTCAACTTTTATACAGTCACGTATACTTAAAATATTTCTGTCACATTATGAGGAGGGATACTGGCTGTATGGAAAAACTCATTTATACAGGGCAAGGTTCGGGAAGAAGACCAAAAGGCTGCTCGCCCTCCAGCTATCAAAGATCACCTATAAGCCACTGCACACGCTTGTACATGAAGCACAAGACAGGGGAATTATGGAGACAAACTTCACACATCACCTAACCACTACATTCCTCTTATAGCAATAAAGACAGAGAGAGAGAGAGAGAGAGGGTAGCATTTTTCTACCCAGAAGCTCATTGAAAAATTATTGTTTCTGTCTCACAAATTTTAGAAAAGCCACCATATTGCCGATGTCGGGGCGTGTTTTGTATTCGCGCCGGTCGGCGCAATTTTCATTATTTCCCAGCGGGGAAACACCGGCGAAATCGACGTTATTTTGCCTCCTATAAATTAATAAAACCCTATGTGACCATAAAACTTTATTTGGGAAGACGGAAAGACCGTAAAAGTAAAAATAACAGCGGTTCGTCTGTCCGCTTTGGGCTGGGAAGGGCACCATATAAAAAAAAAACAAATTATTTTTTTTAGTAGATATTTTTTACCTGAATAATAAAAAAAGAAAAAAAGGGAAAATTAAAAATACATATTTTATATTTTGTTGCTGTATTTATAATAATAATAATAATAATAATTATCATAAATCATAAATGGTCCAAAACAGATCTGAAAATTTAAATATTATTCTGACAAGAACTCAGTTAACTAGATTCCGACAGCTGCATCCCAACTCTTACAAGGAGAGGCTGACCATTGAAAGAAAAGAAGGAGGTAGGGGCCTGACAGATATTCACGAAATACACAACAAACAGATTAATTCACTAGAAAATACTTTAAAGAAAAATACCTCATTACATCAAGCAGTAAATATAGCGGATGCTAACTACACACCATTAAATCTTAACGCAGAAAATATTCCTGTTTCAAATATACTCACATTAGAGGAAAAAGAAAAACAAATGGTCCCAAAAGCAACTACATGGAAAACACTGTCATATTATGAACAACCCCGACATCGATAAAGAACTGTCATATTCATGGCTACAAAAAGGGCAACTGCAACCGGAAACGGAGGGATTCATTATAGCGATACAAAATCAAGTAATAACAACGCGCAACTACAGGAAATACATAATAAAAGATAGGGCCCAACAAACGGATACCTGCAGGCGTTGCCACCTTCAAAGTGAAACAATAGAGCATATTACAAATGGTTGTAAAATACTCACTGGTACAGAATACACTCTAAGGCATGACTTTGTTGCGCGTTTTATACATCAAGAAATAGCAAAAACATATAAATTTATACAAGAAAAACAGCCCTATTACAAATACACGCCGCAATCTGTCTTTGAAAACGACACTATTAAACTCTACTGGGACAGAACGATCCATACTGACAAGACAGTAACATGCAATAGACCTGATATAACGTTAACACTAAAAAAAGAAAGTAACATTTAATAGAAATCACTGTTCCGAATGACAACAACATAACAAAAATGTTTATAAAAAAAAAAAAAATTAGCAAATACATTCCACTAACACAGGAAGTAGAACGAATATGGCAACAAAAGAAGTTAAAATCCTACCATTTATTATTTCTAGCACGGGCCTCACACACAGGAAATTTAAAGAAAACCTCGATATTTTGAATTTAAAAGGTCATATTCACACACTTGCTCAAAAAGCAGTAATCATTAAAACCACAAACATAACCCGCTCCTTCTTAAAACAATAGAAACAAAACAAAAGAAACTCTGATAGTACTTGGTAATGAACACCCGTCTGTCAGAATATACCACCAAGAGTGAGAAAAAAAAATAATAATAATAAATGGCTTTATTAAGGAAAAATAACAAAATACATCATACTCCTTCTTCAGGCAAAGTCTAGCTATGGCTACTCTACCTTGTTCAAAAGAAAAATAAATATACAATTACATATAGTTAGTACTATTTGTATTATAATAATTAGTGAATCAGATAGAATATAACTAGAAAAAAAAAAAATATTTATAAAAAAATAAATTAACAAAAAAATCATATATTATGACAATAAAAAACCAAAAACGATGGGAAAAAAAAATTGTTGTCAATATTTCTAATATGATTTTATGGAAAATAACTTGTCAGTGGCTTTTTTTACTCGTAAAAGATGTTACTATAAAATAACAAAAGCAACAAAAAATTAAAGTATATACAAGTTGCTACAAATTCGAGGTACGAGCACTGGTATCTCGGTAACCGTAATAGATACGAACATAGTTAAATTGGGGTAAAGTTGCGCTTTGGGATGTTCACCAAGATGCCATCAAAAGTTTTAAAAATATCAAAGGCTTGCTGAGTTTTTGGAAAAAACAGTTTTTTTTTTTATATCAATTTTTATTTTTCTGTCGTTACTACAATTTAGAGAAAATCGAAAACTTATTGCACATTCTCATAGCCGCTTTATTAAGGATACCACAAGTATTTTAAATTTCATTTTAGCTGATAATTTGTGAGATACAGAGGCCAATTTTTTTTTTTTTTTAAATACGGACCTGTTTTATTTTAAGTTTTGAAAGAACTCGTTCTTCTGAGTACAAATGATATGACACACTTTATACTTTTTTTTGATGGCATCTTGGTGAACATCTCAAAGCACAACTTTGCCCTAATTTAACTATGTTCATATCTATTACGGTTACCGAGATACAAATTCTCGTACCTCGAATTTGTAGCACCCTGTATAACTAATTAGATGGTCAAGGTTTTAATAAACGTGTCTATTAAAAAACTAGAGTTCTCACTCAATATTGTAAATTTCATGTAGAAAATCTTCTTTAATATATCACTTGCTATTTGGAGACCCTGTAGAGCAAATATTTTTTAAAGAATGTAGTAAAAAGCTACATATCCAAAATCTTCTTTATAATACAAATTGTCGTTCTACTTGAGGAGTCTCGTAATACAAAACTGAAATGTCAAAACGAATGACAATGTCAGGAATTAAATAAATACAGGTGGCAACTTTGGTGACATTTTTTACAGCAGACCCACAAAACATCCCCTTTAAAACTTCGTCTATCATGTTAACAAATGAAAGTAAATAATAAAGCGCCTCTCATGTTTGTTCGCACTCAAAAAATTTCTATTAATGCCTGTATAAAACGCTTACTTACATTGCAATAAAACTTCCACTTTTAGTTTTGCAATCCAAACGCAATATTTCTATTTCACAAATAAAAATATCCGACAACACTAAAATCACTGAAACTTCCGCAGCTGACAACGAAAACTGAAAAATATAACGGCACTTTTTGTTTTGGACCTGCATATTAACATTACGCTGTACTATTATGTGTTTGTTGTTGAAATAATATAAAATAT